GGACTACCGTCTTCCCCCGAACATAACGCACCCTAAAAATGAATGTATACAAGCTATATTTCCGGCCAGATACAGCCAAAATGAGGGTGCGTTGTGTTCGAGGGAAGACGGTAGCGGTGGAGGCGGCTGGGTCGTCAACCTGCAATGGTGTGATCTGCAATGGTGTGATCCATCTCCTTCCTTGTTTTTTTTTTTTCCCCAACCTAAAGATCATTCCCATCCGATTCATTCAAACCATCACAGATCGGACGGTAAGCGGAAGAGCCCGATTGCTCGTTGCCCTCACCCGGTATGACTTTTTTTGTTCCGTATGGCTTTCCCCACCCTTCCGTATGGCTATATCTTACACCCGACCGTCCTTCTACTCCAAATAAGGCCCATTAGGGACATACAGCGTGGTAAATGGATGTATCTGACGGCAATTATGTCTGGATTCAATCGAGAAAGGAAATGCTAATATTTCCAAGGGACTTACGAAACTGCCATGGTGGGCGGCCCATTATCATGGTAATTTCGTAAATCCCTTGGACCCGTGTAAATATGACAATTTCCCTTTTTCTAAGGCGTGCAATTAGGGGCCCTGTTCTGATGAAAACGATAGTCGGTGCAAATCACTACAGTCGTGGAAGTATGGGCTGGCGAGAACCTTGCAAGGGTCCTCCTCCTCCTCCTTCTCCTCCTCCTCCTCCTCCTTCCGCCTTCTCCTCTTATTCTTCCTCTCCTCTTATTCTTCTTCTCCTTTTGATGGAACCTTGTATAAGAAGAAGACGGAGAAGAAGGAGAAGAAGAAGGTGGACGGAGGAGGAGGAGGAGGAGGAGCCGGAGGAGAAGAAATGAGGAGAAAAGGGAGAGGATCCGCAACATGGCAGGTATGTTGGAGTCTGAGTTCAACAAAGGGAAGGAAGAAGAAGAAGGAAGAAGAAAAAGGAAGAAGAAGAAGAAGAATGACAAACAATGGCCGAATTGTTTTCAGTACATGCTTCTCAAACTTTGCATTCTAAAAGGGCATGTACATTGTACAATACTCAGGAAAAAGGAGAAAAAAAAGAAGAAACATAGCAAGCAAAGGGCGGGTAAAGATTCGCTGGGGCACAAGAGGTCAATTGGAATCGGAGTTAGGGAGAAAATAGGAGGAGGAGGAGGAGGAGGAGGAGGAGGAGGAGAAGGCAGGAGGAGAAGGCAGGAGGAGAAGGCAGGAGGTTCCTGTATCACACGTTTGCATCGTAAGCGGAGATAAGAGCACACGAAGGAGAAGAAGAATACCAGAAACGGACGTGCTAGAGCACAGGCAAATCAGAATCGGAGGAGCGAACGAGAAAGAAGAAGAAGAAGAAGAAGAAGAAGAAGAAGAAGAAGAAGAAGAAGAAGAAGAAGACGAAGACAGGAGGAGGAGGCGAAGAAGAAGAAGAGGAAGAAGAGGAACCATAAGCGGGATCGTACTTATCAATGGAAGATAAAACGACAGGAAGGCGAAGAGACTGATGAAGACCAAGAAAGAAGAAGAAGGTAAGATCAGAAGAAGAAGAAGCAGCTGACACGGAAAATAAGAATTGGAGTAGTAGTAGTAGAAGAGGAGAAGAAGAAGAGTCGGCGACAGCAGAACCAGAACCAGAACCAGAACCAACAGCAGGAGCAGCAGCAGCAGCAGCAGAAGAAGAAGAAGAAGAAGAAGAAGAAGAAGAAGAAGAAGAAGAAGAAGAAGAGTCGGCGGCCTTGTCCGATCCTTGCTTGTCAGTAGTCTGTCAGTCACACCCCTTGTTTGAAAAACATCCCGAGAATCTGGACCTCGCCCCAGGACATAACATTCCAAATGTATCTAGACGTCTTTCTGGTCCCGATGAAGACTGAGGGCATGCGCTCACACTATGGTGAACATCTCAGACTTGCCGGACTACCGTCTTCACCCGACTACAGAAAGTATAATCGGTCGGTTTAGATGAATGCGGGTCAACTTTCAGTCCAGATATAGCGACAATGACCGTGCTGTATTCGGGCCAACTTTCCGTCCAGATACAGCCATAATGCCCGTGCTGAATTCCGGTCAACTGTCAGTCCAGATACAGCGAGAATGACTGCACTGCGTTCGATGCGTTCGAATGCGTTCGATTCGGGCGAACATCGTAGAGAGAGTGCAGGCAGCGTTCCACGACGACTACCTGCCGTAAGAATGGAGCATTTATTTCATTTATTTTTTATTTACTTTACTTTTTCTTTATTAAAAAAAAAAGCTAAATAAAGTCTCATTTAACATTTTTGCGTGCTCCATGTCACTGACCATTTCAACGACATTTTCTTTCCTTGCTTTTGTCCTTTTTTTTTCTCTCCTTTTATCTTTTTGGAATTGTCTTTTTTTTCTCTCCTTTTATCTTTTTGGAATTGTCTTTTTTTTCTCTCCTTTTATCTTTTTGGAAAATCTAAAAATAGGTACAACTACTACGAGCGACTATGTCGAAACCGTTTCCTCAGCGGCCCCCCACTGGCGACGAGATGGAGGATCCGTATCCCGACGAGGCAGGGTCGGCGGACTATCAGACTCTGCGAGGAAGTTCATCATCCATTGCTCCCCACGTGCGAGCAAACATTGCCACGTGGACGAAGGGGCGATTGACACGTAAGACCCTTTGCCTGCTATCGTTTCTGGTCCTCATGTCCCTCCTGGTGTTGAGTATTACCCCCCCTTCGCCCGCCTCATTCTGGTCTGTCCCGACTCAATGCGGCTCTACGAGCTCGATCATTCTTCTTCAACCCAACGCTGCGGATGGTCAAGGAAGGTGGATGAGCTTCCTATCGGGACTCTACAGTCTCGATCGCGATTGCAGTTCGCTGTCCTACAGGGCATGGCGGGTCCCGACAAGCCAAGCCAACAATGCTGTCATCGACTCACAACAATCCAACAAGTCCGTGGAAGGAGGAGGAGGAGGAGGAGGAGGAGGAGGAGGAGGAGAGCAAAAGAGAGAAGAGGGGGGATGGGGAGGGGGTTGGAATTGGGGGCAGTTCCATGAGAGTGAAAGAGAGGGTGGTGCAGAGGGTTCAAGGAAATCCCCTCCTGAGGGTGGGGCAGAGTCCATGGCTCAGCGGAGACAGGGTCCATCGTCGAAGCACGAGGAAGCAGAAGAACTTCAAGATGACGCTGTTAAGCTCCCCGGCTATGAGATCTACGAGGACAGGATGTGCACTACTAACCGTAGATCAGATTGTTATCCGAGGGTGAGAGGGTTGTGTTTCAGTCGGCGGCAGGTCACTCTCTGCCAAGCGGAATCAGAAGTAAACTACCAAGGGCTGAGAATCGAAGAAGACGAAGCACGACCAAGTCTGAAGCTGAACGAGGAAGATCATGGCTATGGTGGTTTGGAATCCATAGTCAGTCGGATAGAGGAAGATAAAGCCGACGGTCTGTTGGCGGCCATGGAGCTTAGCTCCGGCTTCAAGGTACCAGAGAGCGAAATGTCGACAACGTCATCGTCATCGCCATCGCCATCGACATCGACACGACGAGCCATGTCCAGACCAGCCATAGCCGGCATTACGAACATGCCCAGACCAGCCATAGCCACGGAGGTTAACACTGGTAAAACTTACCAGCAGCCTCAGCAGGACGGACATGTCGAACCCCACCATAGCCAAAGGCAATCATCTCGTATCGACGGTCCTCGTCCTTCCAAGCCAGCAATCGAACTCCCAAAGTTCATGCGCTTTGATGGAGAGAGGATTACTATTCCTGTTGTGGAAGGCCATTGCCCAAGACCTCCTCCTCCTCCTCCTCCTCCTCCTCCTTTTTCATCTTCTTCTGATGCTGCTGTTTCTTCACATTCTTCATCACAAATTGCGAGGCCTGATTGGGCGAAGTCGCTTGCCGAAACCCAGACAGCAAGCGGGGCACATGGGAGCCTCACTGCTCACGGAGAGGGAGAGGAGGAGGGAGAGGGAGAGGGAGAGGGAGAGGTAGAGGGTGATGAGAGACGCTCCATTGTGAAAAACGATGATCAGTCCATCTGGGAAGCTGCCAAGCCTTTCAGTGACACGACTGAGTCAGCCAGCTTGCCATCCATCATGATGGATATGGGTATAGAGCAGCCTACTACTACTAGTCATTCAGTCAGTTTGCCTCCCATCATGATGGATATGGGTAGACAGAAGCCTACTACTACCGGTAGTAGTAGTCCTTGTGGACGATGGGTTCCTGGCCTGTCCTTGGTTGCTGACATGAGACTTATTCCCTACGGAAGACCCAATCCTCATCACGAGACTGAGAAGATCCTCCCTGCTTTCCTCTTGATTCACAGATTCGGTCTAACCAACTCCTCTTTCTATTGGTTTGGTTCATTCGATTTGCTCTCCACTTGGGCTCAAGGATTGATCCTGGCCCTTGGCTTCCAATCCTCTGTCGTCTTTCTTCCTCTCCCTGGACCCAACGATCCTCCGGTCTGTTTCGAAGATGCCATTCTGTTTTCGGCCGGTTCTAACGGCAGGTACGTGCCAGATCCTGACACCCACGAGTGGATGAGGAGCCGCGTCCTCAAACACTGCAACATTCCCAACGTCGTATCTAGCCGTCCGATCATCCAATCGGTCGTCTTGGATCGATCCTCACCTACGCGGCGATTCGCCAATGTGCCGGCAATTAAGCAGGTGTTAGAAGAGGAGCTGCATGTTCCTGCGCTGACTCGTCGGAGTGGGAGAGGGGACTTCTGTCACCAAGTGGGTGCGGTGGCGTCGGAGGACTTTGTAGTGACCTCTCATGGAGCGCAGAACATGGTCTTCTTGTTCGCGCGCCCACATGCCGTCATCGTGGAGGTGTTTCCTTATCTCTATCACACGACAATTTTGAGAAACGTACTCCAAGCCGCGCGTATTCAGCGTTATGAAATACTGGGGCTGTTGCCACCAGATTCGCCCATCATGTCCCTCTACTCTCCTCTCGGATGGGATGGCTGCTATCATTTAAGGTCGTGCAAAACCTACTCAAGGACATTGCCCGTCTATGCTGATATCGACGCACTCAGACAACTGCTCAGATCGCTTAATACTACTACCTACCGTAGTATTAACCAGAGTACAAACCACGACAGCTCTCCCGGTCACATTCACCCATACCATTGAGATATGGGAGAGGTTCTCTCTCTCTCTCTCTCTCTCTCTCTCTCTCTCTCTCTCTCTCTCTCTCTCTCTCGCTGGCTCGCTCGCTCTCGCTCTGTGTGTGTGTGTGTGTGTGTGTGTGTGTGTGTGTGTGTGTGTGTGTGTGTGTGAGAGAGAGAGAGAGAGAGTGAGAGAGAGAGACTGTCTGCATGTGCATGTGCCCATGTGTGTGTCTGTGTGCGTGTGTGTGCATGCATGGGAGTGCAAGTGTGTACTATGTTCGGGGTAAGGGAGGAGAAAAGAGGGTGCATGGTGGTGCCCGTCATAGTGGGTGAGGGAATCTGAGTGAGATGGCCATTGCAAGTTGAAATAGATGGCCTTATAAATGTTTTTTTTAAGGGTGGACCCGCCCCCTTTAGTTGTAGACGACACACCCCTTTCTCAGTTGGGGGCCTTATAAATGTTATTAGGCAGCCTGCAGGAGGCTGGCGGCAGTCTTCGAACCTGTCAAGGTGGGCTCTGGCCACCCTACCAGCCTGCAGAATGCCCCTGCCCGCGCACATGCAGCCTGCCGGCTGGACAGTTTGCCTCCGGGCCTCGCCACATGTATGCGAAAATCCACAGTATGCACATTCAGGGGCAAGGTCAGGAGAGTGGTTATATGGAGCTCAGGCAGTAAGGGCAATTGTTATGAAGGTAATATGGGACCATAGAAATGATCAGTTGTTCAAAAGCAAGTACATCTCAGATCGGGTAATTAAGAATAAGATTACTCAGCAGATTCGCTTAACTATCAGCAGTGACTGGTTTCGAAGGGTGGGTAAAGGGAAGGCTGCAGATCACAGAAAGTGGTATTGGGACATGTGGGGGAGAGAGTCCAGATTAGTGAAGTTTACTGCAAAAGGCGAATTACTCAGCAGATTCGCTTAACTATCAGCAGTGACTGGTTTCGAAGGGTGGGTAAAGGGAAGGCTGCAGATCACAGAAAGTGGTATTGGGACACGTGGGGGAGAGAGTCCAGATTAGTGAAGTTTACTGCAAAAGGCAGGCTATGCTTCGCGCCCTGGCTACTCTCCCCAACAGGGCACGGAGAGCGCTTTAGTTCTCCACCTTGAAGGGGACAACTAGAAAATGGCATAGGCGAAGGTGGTTGTGGTAGTTATTACAACATAAGAGCTCACAAGTCTCAAAAGAGTAAGTTTGAAGATCAGCCTCTCAGAGGCTTCCTTTTTTCTGTAATTTTTCAGAGAACAGTGTAGTAGAGGGACAGTGGATACGGTTCCCAAGAACCTACAGCTGGGTAAGGGCCCGAGCATGTATCTGTATAGGGTTGATTTGTGGGGTGTCTTCCCGGGCCCCTGTTGCTCTTCTGAAATAAAATGATCTGAGCTTCTCTAAATAAATTTAAAAAAAAAAAAAAAAAAAAAAAACTGCCAATTGTTTGTTTGTTAGTTTTTGTTTTGGTTTTCCCCTAAAGTCAGGACGAGGGACGGCCATAGGGCCTCGCTGCGCTACTCTTGAAGCTTGAAAAATCAAGAGTTCATCACCGCTGCACTAACTCTTGATGCCACATCCTGGATTTTTCTATTCAAGAGCTGTCAGATTCACGCTCGAAAACGTCGAGAGTGAGTGCCTCTCTGCACTACTCTAGACTCTCGAAATATTTCGAGAGTTCGACTAGCATTGTCAGAGAGGAGAGACTCTCGAAATACCTGCCTTGACTGCACTTACTCTAGAACCTGTGACACTATCTCAACTCTCGAAAAGACTTGACAGAAGAGCTGCACCACTGCACTATGGGACAGAGTCTGGCCGCCGGGACAGGAGGTCCACTCTCCAAAAACGAGCCTGTGGGCGGGCAACTCCCGAGGACACTTGCAAATTCGGTTTTTGCAGGCGGGAGACTCTCGACGTTTCGAGAGTGGCCTTGTAGCATGGCATCTGACAGCTCTCGATCGGGTTTCGAGAGTTTCCCGATGGAGAGTAAGTGCAGCGAAGACCCACTCTCAAAACTTCGAGAGTCTAGAGTAGTGCAGTGAGCCCCCGCGTCGTCGCTGCACTAACTGTGGAAAACGGCTCTAGGTCCTGCGCTTCAAGAGGTGTTCAAGAGGTGTCAGAAATGGCCCATCGGAAGACTCTTGAAGTTTCCACAGTTCCCGCCTGCAGGAGTTTTTTTTTCAAAAGAGGCCTACAGCTCCCTTCATGCGGTTTGCAAATTCGAGAGTTGGCCTCCGGTCTCGGCGGACAAATCGCCGCTGCCCTGTCGTGTAGTGTCTGTCCGACAGTCAAGAATGCTCACGAGAGTAGAGAGTCCGGAGTCAGTGCAGCGACTACAGCACTTGATGCAAATCCAGGAGTCTGACAGTGCTAGACGAACTCTTGAAAGGTAATTTGAGACCACCTCTGGAGGTGGTCTCAAAAAGGGTCCGCCCGCGGGCCTGCAGGCCGCTGACAGAAGGGTCACCGTTTGAGGCATTTGGGTAGCGAGCCTCTCCAGTGTGACCCGAAAAAAGACTCAAATTTTGGGATTTTGTGTCTTTTGGTCCTCGTGTGAGTATGCCCTGAGTCTAGAGCTGTCAGACTCTAGAAACGACTGAAAAACCGAACATTGCTCCACTTACTACTTAGGCCCTCACTGCACTACTCTTTGAATCTTGAGAAATCAAGAGTTTGTCACGGCTGCACTAACTCTTGATGCCGCGTCCTGAATTTCCATTCAAGCGCTGTCAAATTCACTCTCAAAAACGTCGAGAGTGAGTCATTGCCGCACTAACTGTGGAAAAGTGATCTTGGTCCAGCGCTTCAAGAGGTGTCAGAAACGGCCCATGGGACGAGCTCTTGAAGTTTCCACAGTTCCCACCTGCAGGGGCGTTTTTTTTCAAACGAGGCTAACCAATCCCTTTGTGCGGTTTGCAAATTCGAGAGTTGGCCTCCAGTCTCGGTGGACAAATAGTCGCTGCCCTGTCGTGTAGTGTCTGTCCGACAGTCAAGAATGCTGTCGCTGCCCTGTCGTGTAGTGTCTGTCCGACAGTCAAGAATGCTCATGAGAGTCGAGAGTCCAGAGTAAGTGCAGCGACGGCAGCACTTGATGCCAATCCAGGAGTCTTTCCACAGTGGACTACAGCACTTGATGCCAATCCAGGAGTCTTTCCACAGTTCCCGCCTGCAGGGTCGTTTTTTTTTCAAACGAGGCCGACCAATCCCTTCGTGCGGTTTGCAAATTCAAGAGTTGGCCCCCAGTCTTGGTGGACAAATCGTCGCTGCCCTGTCGTGTAGTGTCTGTCCGACAGTCAAGAATGCTCACGAGAGTCGAGAGTCCAGAGTAAGCGCAGCGACGACAGCTCTTGATGTCAATCAATGAGTCTGACAGCACTAGACGTACTCTTGAAATTTTTCATGTGTCTAGCATAGTGCAGCGAGGCCCTTACTCTAGACGGTCGAACTCGAGAAGGCCTCTCAGATGTCAGACGGCTTTTTGAGAGAGCTACACGACACGGCCAGCACGCGTTGTCCGCCCAGACTCCAGGTGCACTCTAAAAAAAGTGCTCAACTTTCGAAGGGCCTGGATGCCTCCCTTGAAATTCCCACTGCTGCAGGTAGGCGCTCTTGAACCGTCAAGAGTGCCATGGGAGAGGAGGTTCTGACAACTCAAGGAAAGCATTTTCGTGAGCGCATTTCATGAGGTAGTGGAGCTATGACGGATTCTCGTCATTTTCGTGAGTGCAGACTCACAGCTCAAGAACCCGGATTTCAGACCTGGTGTCTAGAGTAAGTGGAGCGGTGCCGCACTCAAGAAATGGCATGTTTCTAGAGTAGTGCAGCGAGACCCTTAACGGCAAGAAATCGAAAGTCGAGAGTCGGTATCAGTGGAACCTGGCCCTTATTGTGGGCGCCATCCTTGCGCAGAAGTGGCCACTTCTTTTTTTCTTCTTTTCTTTTCTTTTCTTTTCTTTCCTGCTTTTTCTCCGAAGCCGCCGGTCTCCATTAAGATCCCGAACATCCAGCCTCGGTGGAGGGTGGGGTTCGGATAATTAGGCTCGGTTCCGGTTGTGACCTCCATGTGAGATGCTGCAGATCCGAGTCCATAGGGGGGGACTGGTTTTGCGCTGGATAGTGCGTACGCTAAGTGGGGAAGCGTTGTCTTTTGACTGCGCTATTTCGCTCTAGCCCTGTACGACTTAAGTGTGTTAGGATGGATGCCGTCGTACTCGTCAACTTCAAGGCGTCCCCCATCTTCCACGCCGTATAGTCTTACTGCGTTTGCCCCTGTGAGATATCAGGGGACAGGGAGATTCCGGTCCTCTGCTAGCCTTGCTATCACCAATTGCCTAGTGTGCAATGTCGCAGCTGTTGCTACATGGACATCGGTGCTCTCGAAGCTGTGGGAGAGCTACAGGCAGTGGTGGGAGCAATGCCGTTGGAAGTATCCCTGCGAGGTGCTAGTTGCTCCCGTCAGCACTCGCTCCTTTGGGGGCATCCTGGTCACAAGGGCACTGTTGGGTCACCATGGTTGTGCCTGGGGACAGCCGGAGCACATCCCATCTGGAAAATGATGGAGTGTGAGGCTATGCTAGCAGCCCTGCCCAACATCACATAGAAGTAAACATTTCTTGATATACGGTCAAGCGTATGATGGGTTTCAAAGATAACCTCGTACTTCAAGACTGTGGCAAACCTCGCGCTTCAAGACTGTGGCAGTCATGGACTGTGTGGCGGTGTATCCAATCTCTTCACGACTTCCAGATGTCGGTCTTGGTGCTAAGCTCGCAGCCTATCAATTTGGACTTCGACTTCTGTGTTAAGAACAAGATCCTTCGACCTGAGGGTGTGTGCTTCGCTCTCTTGGCTTTGTTCATCATTCCTTGTCTATCTTAATGTGCCTTGATTCACTGTCTAAAGAACTTAGTACCATGCACCTAGCCACTATTGTAGGGTAGATTCATTAGGTCTTGTGAATTCTCCTCACGTGATTTCATTAGGTCTAGTGATTTCATCGGGATCTGTCGTTCATTGCTCCCCGCTGCACTGTGGTTGGATCGTTTTCATAAGTGAGATCTTTCGTTTGAGAGCCGTCGTTCATTGCTCCCCGCTGCACTGTGGTTGGATCGTTTTCGTAAGTGAGATCTGTCGTTTGAGAGCGGTCGTTCATGGCTCCCCTCTCCACCACGGTTGGTTCGTTTTCATAAGCGAGACCTGTGGTTCATTTCTCCTATCTCCACCTGGTTTATTCTCCACCGGGGTTGGATGGCTTGGCCCTGGTTGTGTCCCGTTTTCAATATTGTTGGAGTTACAATGCACCTAAGCACGATTCTAGGGTAGATTCGCTCATTCTTGAGAATTACCTCACGTGATTTCATATAGTAAGATCTGTGTTTCTTTCCTCCCTTCTCCACAGAGTTACGATTCTCACGGTAGCTGAAGCGCGTTTGGGTCACACTCGCCCCTTGCGATCCTGTACCTAGTGCAGGCTAGCGGATCCCATAGGTTGGATTCACTATGAGGCAGCCATCTTCTGATACTGATCGTTGGTGATACGGCCATGATGTAGGACAGCTGCATTGCCTCTAGTGTTTCGAACTTAGAAACATGCCTGTGCGATCTTCATATGCATAGTACCTGGTCACATTTTCATGGGTCAACTTGAACTCTGCTGAACAGTTACTCCTGTTGTTAACGACTCGGTAACTGGTTCATTGGCTTGTTGCCCAGGATTTGGGTTCAGTGTTAACTCATGATCATAGACCCTAAAGCTCTGGTTCGTACCCAGGAGATACTTCATTCTGAGGCTCGGGTTTGAACAATGTGTTTGCATTCTAGACGAGGAGGTAGTATGGTGATTCTTATTTGAATTTGGTGTAGTCTGTACTGTTGGTCACAGGATGGAGCCAGTGCGAATTGATAGCAGCACTGTTGTAGACAGTGGCAGAGTCTGTAGTGGCAGTGGGAGCGCTTCGGCAGTTTCAGGAGCGCAGAGTGCTGGCTTTGGCGTTGCTTTCACAGCCAAGCCAAGCTGTCGAGCCCGTATGGTGGGTGGTATCTTACGGGGCCTGTTGGGAAACACAGGCGGCCGATACTGCGGCAGCCTGACCTGTAAGTGTAAGCTACAACAAGTACGGATTCAACATCTTCTACAGTGATGACACCTGAGACGTTGAACTACAGAGCCCGTCTGCTTAGGTGGGTGGCATCAAGACTGGGCCTGTTGAGAAACACAGGCAGCGGATGCTCCGGTAGCTATAACAGTTACTACACAATGCTTACATCCTTTTCGCTTGCGGCGTCTTCTGCAAAAGTTGAGCTGAGGCACACCGGACGACGTGGAGTTCTTATTTGGAGTTTCTTTTTGAAATCCTGTGTCACTGTAGTAGTAGCAGCATATCTGGCGCCTGACAGAGGTTTTCTCCCCTTCTCCAGCTACCTGCTCACTGCTCAGTAAATTCTTTAGCTTCTAGACCACCCAAATCCAAGTCCGGCGGCCATGATCTCTCAGATCCCTCCGCTGACAATTCTCCATATTCATTATGTATTTGGGACACTGGACCCGTTTTCCAGCAGATGATGCTTCCCACCAGTAGACGAAGACTCCCCCCAGTAAAAAACAGGGATGGAAAGTGGGGAGGGAGGGTGAAGACATTTGAGACAGGGTGGGTAGGGACAGTAGCAGCAGGTATCTGGTGCCTGATACAGGGCAAAGAGGTTTGAAATCCCCCTATTTCTCAATAACCTGCACAGTTAATCCTCTGGACACCAGAGTAATAAATGCTGGCAGGCGTTTTCTCAGTTACTTTCCCTGAGGTCGTCTGGAATCGTTTTGTATATGGGACGCTGGACCCGTTTTCCAGCAGGTGATGCTCCCCACCAATAGATGGAGCCTCTCCCCGGGTGCTAGTGGTGCCTGTTTCAACCAGCATCACTATCACTGCCGGGGCCGTTTTTTTCAAAAAAAAAAAAAAAAAAAAAAGGTTCGATTCTGGGACACTGTTTAGGGTTGCTTGATCAATGTTCTATGGCTAGTAGCTTAATTTTTCATTCCTTGAGCTTCATGGTTATTTTGGGAGGATGGATATTTGGAGAAGAGATGGGACACTGGACCCGGTTTCCAGCATAAGCCTAAACTGGGTATTGGCCCCAGCACCTCCAGGTTGTTTGTGAGGTTTCCCGGCCTCTGCTCATTTCAGATCAATAAAGCTTCCAATCTTTCCCCCCCAACCCCCCCCCACCCCCCCACCCCAAAGAAAAAGAAAAAGAAAAAGAAAAAAAAGAGATGCTGCAGATCTGGGGGTGAAGTCCACCGCCCGAGTTTAAGTTTAGAAAACGCAACCGTGTGACACCATTCTGACATTAATAAATTTGAAACAAGAAATTAAAAAACTGAAAAAAAACGCTAGAAACAGCTTTTCTCCTTACTTTTGATTAAGTAACTCGGAGAAATGAAACACGTCTGGCACAGTCGGAGTGAATGGGTCTCGCTCCACTACTCTAGAAACCGGCCATTTCTTGAGCGTGCTCCACTTACTCTAGATGCCCTGGTCTGGAATTCGGGTTCTTGAGCTGTCAGTATCTACTCACGAAAATGTCGAGAATCCGTCGTCGCTCCACTACCTCATGAAACACACTCACGAAAATGCATTTCTTGAGTTGTCAGAACCTCCTCTCCCGTGGCACTCTTGACGATTCGAGAGCTCCCGCCTGCAGCGGCGGGAATTTCAAGGGAGGCATCCAGGACCTTCGAAAGTTGAGCATTTTTCTCGAGTGCACCTGGAGTCTGGGCGGACAACAACGTGCTGGCTGTGTCGTGTCGCTCTCTCAAAGAGCGGTCTGACATCCGACAGGCCTTCTTGAGTTTGACCTTCTAGAGTAAGTGGAGCCATGTTCTCTTTTTCAGTCGTTTCTAGAGTCTGACAGCTCTAGACTCACTCTCAAAAATCTTCGAGAGTCTAGAGTAGTGGAGAGAGACCCAATGGGCCTCGCTGCACTACTCTTGAATCTTGAAAAATCAAGAGTTCATCACCGCTGCACTAACTCTTGATGCCGCGTCCTGTATTTCTATTCAAGAGCTGTCAGATTCACTCTCGAAAACGTCGAGAGTGAGTCATCGCTGCACTAACTGTGGAAAACTGCTCTTGGTCCAGCGCTTCAAGAGGTGTCAGAAGTGGCCCATCGGACGAGCTCTTGAAGTTTCCACAGTCCCCACCTGCAGGAGCTGTTTTTTCAAACGAGGCCGACTGGTCCCTTCATGCGGTTTGCAAATTCAAGAGTTGGCCTCCGGTCTCGGTGGACAAATCATCGCTGCCCCGCCGTGTAGTGTCTGTCCTACAGTCGAGAATGCTCACGAGAGTCGAGAGTCTGGAGTAAGTGCAGCGACGACAGCACTTGATGCCAATGCAGGAGTCTGACAGCGCTAGACGAACTCTTGAAAATTTTCATGTGTCTAGCGTAGTGCAGCGAGGCCCAATGTCTCCGTGGAAAAAGGATACTTCCGGTGGTGAGGGGACAGGAGGTCACCATTCGTAAAATGGACAGGGACAACATGGATGGCCAGATGCGTTCATTGCCCAAAGAAGGAAGAGAGTTTGAAGTGAGAGAGCCAAACACAGCTGTCAGAGTTCCTCCGTTTCAGGGTGTAATGATGTCTAAAAAAACAAAAAAAACGAAAGGCACATAAGTTGAGAAATGTACCCTACCCTCGGTAGGGTAGTTTTCTCAATGGAAAATGGTTTCCCGACCAAACGGAAAGGGCCAAAGCATACTACAAAACGGATTTCACATCAAAGAAAAAATGTACAAAACGACCAAATCTAATAGGTTATTCTCCTGTATATCGGTACCCTTAGATTCTCAATACATTGACGGCAGAGCTCCGTCTCACTATGCCACATGTGATAGAAAGCTCAGCGTTGAGAAAACTCAACTTCGGCGGTGGGACTTCACCCCGGGGGAGGGATTCGGCACTGCAGGTGGTGCATTTTCAATTTCAACCCCACCTGGCCTGTTGCACCCTTGCACAATTGTCCCCGGTTTTTCTAGCAGGTCCTGGTGGAGCTCCGGACCAACAATGGAAGCCATCGATCAGGTAGGTGGACCCCTGTTGAGGGCTATTTTATCACCACCGCTAATAGCAGGATGCTGCTGTCTTTTCTAGACCAGATTCAGGTTGCGGGCTGCAGACTTTTCTAGGCCAGGTTCAGGTCGCTGGGGACACTGTTTCTCATCTGTGCCCCTTTCAACCACCAGTTCGTCCTAAAGTTGTGCCTGATAACAAGCCGCCATCTTTGGAAACGTACGGGCCACTACAGGAGCGCCCAAATTCATCCGACCGACTAGAAACGTTTCTGCTACATTTTTTTCCCACGGTCGATTGCTGGGGCAAGTACACTCATGGTTCCCGGGAGAGGGAGGTTTGGCAAGCTCAGCCATGGCCATATATAAGGTTCAAGAAAACAGTTCCGGTCTGCACTGAACAATTGCAATGACAGCAAGGCCTCAATTCAGATCGTTCTCTGCAACTGGAGAACATGAAGTTGGAATAGCTTGCGAGTTATCGCGGATCAGCGTGCCGCAGTGAATATGTACTCACACTTTTGGCCCAGAGGGTATAACTTTTTTATCTTGCTTCAG